TTTTCAGTTACAAACTCGTTGAAGTTCTGAAGAAGCTGAATGCCGATGGGCGCTGGTGAGAGCGGCTGCATAATTTCGTGGCGCGCGACATTTTCCGCAGCATCGTGGCAACTATACATCAGCCGAGTAGTGAAGTCTTCCACCTCTTCGATGAAGTCCTCTTCTTATGGGAGGGCTACTGCATTTATCATGGCCCAGTTGATGAGGTGAGAGGCGGAGCGAAGCGTTTCATGAATATACCATTTTCGTTATCTCCCCGACATAGTACTACTAATCTGGCCCCATTCGGAAGAAGAGCCCGACTATCAGTACCTTAATCTAGACCACTCCGATCGCCACTCGCATACGCTTCATTGTGAAGGTCTAGTCATCTTATATATAGCTGCGATTGTTCTTGTTGTTGCGGCTGCTGCTGCTGCTGCTGCTGCTGCTGCTGCTGCTGCTGTTGTTGTTGTTGTTGTTGTTGTTGTTGTTGTTGTTGTTGTTGTTGTTCTTGTTGTTGTTGTTGTTGTTGTTGTTGTTGTTGTTGTTGTTGCTGTTGTTGTTGTTGTTGTTGTTGTTGCTGTTGTTGTTGCTGTTGTTGTTGTTGTTGTTGTTGTTGCTGTTGTTGTTGCTGTTATTGTTGTTGTTGTTGTTATTGTTGTTGTTGTTGTTGTTGTTGTTGTTGTTGTTGTTGATCCCTGTTGTTGTTATCAACTTCCTCCTCGCCCCCTCAGGTGGAGGCCTATTTCGCTGGCCTTGGTCACCCTGTCCCCGAGTCCTTCAACCCAGCAGACTTCGTGCTCTTCCTTATACAGACCTTGGATGCCGAGGAGCTGAGGGTAAGATCAATTCTGACACTGCTCAGTGTGATAAAATATGCACATGTGTTGGTGAAAATTCTGAGGAAATTCTCATTGGTTTCTCTAAACTTCTACCCGAATTCGTGTGTAAACTTGTATAATTAGTGAGAAAATTCATGAGCTCAGCTGAGAAAACGCAACATGTTTTCCGACACTACTGCATAGACCTGGGGGGAGTGGGGGTGCGGTAACCGAACCGTACTGTACTATACTTCGACTTCGGAGAGGGTACGCTTTCGTATGCAACATTTTAGTGATAACAATGAGGAAGACAAGATGCTACTAGCAGATACTTGATAATAGTTAATAAATAGTCATAAATATAACGCGTATATACGACGGTTATAATATATAATGTAAATTATAACTCATCCGTAATTTTCTGGAAATTATAATCCTACTCCGTACCGTACTTCCTTCCATACGTTCACCTACACTACCCTAGCGATGACCGATTTCTGCAGACACTCTCATGGAAGCTTCCCAATCGTTGCTCATTGTCAGGCGATCGCGACTAAGTGGTCGGAGCGGGTAGATGGGCCTACTTCCAAAGTGGCGCAGGAGTTGGTGAAGGGAGATCACCGCGATATTCCAAGTTCGCGACGATCTTCGTTCGTGGTAGGATGTGTGCGATAGATCCTTGGGCACTTCTTTATTAGTTTTGTCATGATTTTCTCTCAATTCCTTTCCACCTATGGGAAAAGCGCGCTACGAATAATAGTAAATGTATATCATTTTTTTCATGAAACGCAGTCTTATACTCTCACGACGATTCTCGGACTTTGAGTATGAAGTTATGATGTCAGGTACAGTTCATATCTCTGTGGGAACGTGATATTAAGGGCTTCTTTAGAGATACCAGTGAGTATAGACTGGGAGAATACTGGAGCATTCATACCATTACTACTATTCATACCTCAACTATCATCACAATCTTTACTATGGAAAGCATTCTTCTCTTCGTGTAGAGGTCGCTCAGTTTTCCCGTAGCCAATCGTGCTCATCCTTCGATCGCTGAATGAGCAGTAGTTGCCTTAGCGATGTTCAGTGTTTGTCGTTGCTGTTCAGATTCCCTTCGTGCCCGATTCGGCTTTACGGTGTTCCTCAATCTACTCTTTGGGTTTATCTACCTCGACTCTGGCGGTCGCTCTAGTGAGTGACGACGCTCCCACTTATTCCTCGAGTGTTGTTCTCTAGGTGGTGACGTACCACCAGGAACTGTGAGTAAATCGTATGTTGGTGCTCTCACTCTGCTTGCTATTAATAATATGTTCTCGCAGGCCCAGGTAAGGATATTTGAAAACGTATCTTGAGGTCGCGTGGTGAAGATACGGATGAGGTTCTCTTTTATGACCAGGTTCTGCTACTTACTTTTCCCCTAGAACGCCCGACTTTCATTCGGGAGTATCTCTCCGGTATGTACTCTGCGGTAAGTCTCGGGATGGTGACACGAAGGAATTCCTATATTATTATTGTATATATATTATTAATGTTTGTATTATATTTTGTATATACAGTGCGAAGCAAACAGTTATGCATATCCAGATTTTCGAGATGGCTTTCTTCAATTCGAGAGTAATACGAATATAGACTACGGAGCGCTTCTAAAACGTTGGTGTCAATCGATTCACATTGTTATGATGTTGACTTTCGAACTCTCGAAAATTGAAAGAGTTGAAAATATTTCTTTGCATAGTAACGGTTTGGATGTTCACACTGTTATTTTGTAATACTATATATCATTACCGCTGGTTCATCGATGGCATTTATATTATATTATTATCAATATAACATTATTAAATAAATGGTGTTTTCTCCCCACTCGACTGAGGCATTGGCGTCGTTTTCAGGGAGCCTACTTCTTGTCAAAGTCCTGTGTGGAAATTCCGGTAGCATTCGTCCAAACGGGAGTGTCAGTGACAATACTCTACAATATGATGGGTCTCAATGGGCCCTTCTTAGAGATTGTAAGCTCCTCGGGCTGGTCATTCCTGTTCTGGCGTTGTGAAAATTCCTCACCATGGCATCATCGTGAGCAACGGAACTTATGCACATGGTCAACTTCATGGGAATAACAAATCTGGAGAAGGAAATTCTCTGTCGTTTCATCTACACTTCTACTTTGAATTTTGTTATGTAATGAGGCAACTACTGAGCTCAGCATAGTGATATTAAAAGATTGTATAGTAGCTTTGAACTCTGGAAACACCCCTGATCCCTCCTCAGTGGTTGGCAACCTTCCTTCTGGCCTCGGCTATCGCATCAACAGCCGTTATGGCCGGTTGTTTCGCGCCTAACCCTAAGACCGCGATGGAGGCTGGTCCTCTCCTCTTCGTTCCACAGATACTCTTTGCTGGCTTCTTTGTTGATCTAAGTGAGGTAAGCATGCGAAGGTGAACGGAATATAACTATTGCAGCGTTAGAATGAAATCATAATTATACACGTTTGACATGAAACTTTCATCAACAATCGAGGCAAAATCTGGCAAACTACACTGATGCTGATTTGGCCCATTCGTTCACCAAGGGACGATAGATTGGCATCGACTTTAGGTACCAGCCTTCCTACGATGGGTGCAGTATCTCTGCTCGTTGAAGTATGCTATGAATTTACTATTCCTTGCAGAGTTCTCAGATCAGCCTGGGGTAAAGTCATTTACATGTGTCAGCAGTAGGTTTGGGTTTTACTCAGGGAGAAGTAGTGTTAGAAGCCAACGACGTCGAGGAGGACCTCAAATGGGCATACATTCTATTGCTATTAGCCCTACTTATAACATTCCGCCTCATTGGCTTGATTGGTCTTACACGAAAGGCCATCACGGTGTATTGAATTACCACCCATGTTCGTTGTGGTGTTCCTCTGCATCCTCGAGGCGTTGTGTTCATCGAGTAAAAGATAAACATGTGTGTAACGGTGTAGATACTCTGTTAGTTGATACTAGTCGATTAGGGAATGATGATAATTATAATCCCAAATCAATATTGGGAGTCTCCATCGTGACGACTCAGAAGTATCCAATTCCGATTAAAAAGTACTTGACGACGGGTTGAAATAGTTTAATTATCATGTACACATCGTCAGTATCTCACACTGTCATCCGCACGATGTGGAAATAGAGCGATGAGTTAGAACAACTTTTTCAGATATCGTTAAGATTGGGCACATTGAGAGGTTAGGATTCCTAACTACCTCTCGAAGTGCCCTGCGGTTCCCTAAGTGCTTCATGCTGGGTTCCTGTCTCCAAATATTGTCTTCATAAATTCCCAAGTCAGTCCATCTTCCTGATGTCACATCGTGTGTTCGCTCCCCAACCATTTTCATAATTCCTCCCCGACCAAACTCTTCAACTCAACTCCTCCTAGGTTAAAACTGTGACAATTCGTTTTCGAACATTCTCAATAAACAAACATCAATCAAGCGTAGGAGGCCCTGTCTTCTGGGCCTCATAAATTCTCGAGTTCACCGCGTCGAGATCAGCCCATGTTTCGTCGCTGGAGGGTTTCACCAAAGGCTTGGCAAGATCAGAATCGATGTTAGTAACCAGTCGTTTTGACTCGAGTAAAGTGAACATCACCTGAAAGACAAAAACTCATCAAAAAAAGACACAAAGAGAGTAATAAGATGTATCACTGTCAGCGATAGTCAACTACGCGTACAGGAAAGGCACATTTCGTGTCAATGATTCGATAATTTCATTGACATTTCCGCAATCATTCACCCTGAATTCATCCCACACGACGATCGCCGAAATAATAATAGTCTTGAAAATCAGTTTGATGGTTCAACAGATTATATATGCATTCAAACTGCAACACGGGAGGTTTCCCATAACGCTCTCCTGAATCTGTTCGACGCTGTCAGCCTCAAAGTCAATTCTGAAATCATGGTTGAAACTCAGAGAACGGGCGGATAACGCTTACCACAGCCACAAGGAGGGACGCAGAAGACACCACTCCAGCAGCGAGGAAGGTCACCCCGCCATGACCAGATAGGCTTGTATAAGCGAACATGGAGCCGATGATGACGGGACCGATACACCCACATAGGGAGGTGAAGGATTGGAGAATTCCAAGGGCGTGGCCGATGCGGTCTGAACTGTAGTACCTGACGTGAGGTGACATATAAAGGATCAGAATTGAGCAGTGTTGAAGTAGGAATATATGTACGCTTTCCTAAGCTGAATACCGGGGTTTCCTCACTAATTATGAAAAGTTCACATGCAAATTCGGGTACAGAAATTAACGTGAATTTCTCGACATTTTCATATCATCACCAACACATGTAGTTGACCATGCGTATACTGCCTCACACCAATACTATCCTATAAATCAGCTCACTTGGAGAGGACAGCACTAAGACCAGCCGGAAACCAGGAGCCCGGTACAGCCTGCAGCGGTAGTAAACAAAACGCCGCCACTTTGTTGTTAGTGAAAGCCATCCCTATTTGGAATGCTACTATACCAAAGAGGCCAGAATATCTACAACAGGAAGGATAAAATAACAACAGCTAATACTCCTCAGTGTTGTCATACACCCTTTATAGTTAAGTACCGTTATAGTACCGCATTTTTAGGTCAAATTCATTTTTACCGTTTAATTTTTCCCCCAATTGGTTGATGTTTTACCTTTTTCGTTAACATTTCACCCATAGTTTTAATGAAATACCGAGGAGATCAATGATATTCCCATTTTGTTTGAAAAATTAGGAGTTCAATTTAACCACGGACGCGCGCAATGATCACGTAGAGTTGAATCATCTATAATCAGGGAGTTTCACCCTAGTGATACGAAAAACACTAGTGGAAAGCATATTTCACGACTACTGCATATCACCGCGAATATC